TCTAAATACCACCTTTTTAAACGGTAACTGTAACGGAATACAGTTACTCATATTTTGTATTTTAAATACGTAACGGCGGTACGTGTATTCCGTTACTCCCCAACACTGGACATGCCCGAGGGGACTTTTACAGTTTATTCCGCTACAACAGTGATCTCCGGGCTCAAGGCCTACCTAACATATCACAAAGCAAGCAACTCCTCTCAAGCTGAATGCCACGATCAACTGAGTAATTTAAGCTCAGAGAGAAACAGTGAGAGATGAAGACGGATGAAAATATAAAGAAAGAGAAACAAGGAAATCAGGAATACCAGAGGAAACAGAAAAAAAAAAAAAAAGGGGGGGGGGGATCAAAGACGGTCAAAGAAAAAATCTTTTATTCTTCTCCCCTGGCGAGAAACATTTATAATCCTTGATTTCTGTGTGTAAAGTCCTTCATTTATTAGTGTTACTGTTCTGCACTGCACGCAGGGCTCTAAAACATTATTTCAGTGTTTAACACCCTGCAGTGTTTAATCTGAAGGTTGCCTGGGCCCAAAGGTAAAGCATGATTAGACTAGAACAAAAAAACTGATGAAAGAAGGAAGAGAGAAAGAGGGGACGATCGGGCAGGATGAAAGGTGGTTTCAAAAAGTAAAGGGCTGGAAAAATAAAAAGGGAGAGGAACAGGAATAAAAGGGCAAAATATGAAAGACAAGAAAAAGGGACAGTGCTCGGGGAAAGACTGGAAAGCGAGAGATAACCAAACAATAAAGCCCGGCAACAAAAGGGGAATTGGAGAGTCTCGCTCCTCGGTGGTGTCCTACGGCGCCGATGACAACGCTGTGCTTCGGTTGAGGGTCAGAAATAAAAATAGGCAACGCTAGGTTTCTAATTAAGAATTCCCTTTTACATAAAAGTGACGCGAAACAAAGAAGCACATGTGCATGCACGCGCACATAATAATTATTGAAGTCAATGCAAAGCTAAAGATGAGTGGATGTACTGAAAATACCAGCCAAAAGCCAAACACGCGCATTTAACGGGCAATCGCAGTCACCCGTGTTACGGAAGCTCCAACACCGCCGCCTCCTACAGCAGTTGGGATAATTTCTGTGACTGTGTGTCCTTACAAATCACCAGATGGAGTGCAGTGATAGACAAAGAGGCTTTGGCGAAATCAGCTGTAGGCAGAAAAAAGTAAATCTCGCAAAAAGAAAGAGGGGGAACAATAAACCACTAAAAACTCAAAGCTTTGAAAGGAAGGGGAATGAGAGTTAATTCGTTTGCAGAGAGGGACGCGTGGCTGAGTGGGCTGCTTCACTGTAGTGGTCTATATAACAATGCCTTTAAAAAAAAATAAATTTGAATTAAAGTTACTAACGGGCCCACTGATGTGCAAAACAGCTGCTAGAACTACTGTGAATGGCATTCAGCTGCAGAACTGAAGCACTTAAGTGGACATTCATGACGTCTAGTCTAAAGTAAATTTCAGGGCAAGTAGGCTGGCTCTAATGATTATGCTTTTCACGTGTAACAATTCCCATCAGGGATGAATTCAGGATTGTTTAGCCAATAGTCAAATGTTACAGCAGACAGACTAAATGTAGGTAATTTTCCCAGTCAATTAGCGATACCCTTTAGACTGAAATACACAACAGTTTACAGCAGGCACAAAAGTTCCCCATTCAGGGACAGGTTATTTATTTAAAGTTTTATTGCATTAAAAAGCATATTACGTAAATGCATGACCCTGCTGAAATTGGATATATATAGAAGATGGCTTTATGGTGCACCATGAATATAAAACACTAACCAATCAAATAACAATGTATAGTACATTACTTCTATTGATCTAAAAGCATTTAAATGTTCCTGTGCTGTTTTTATATGTAGTTTGCATCTGTTGCTTTGCAGTGAAAGTGTAAAAGTAAGAGAAAGTCCAACTTTGACTATGCACTAAATGTTCTTTTTCCCTTTCTGCTGTTAAACCCATTAGCCTTTCATCGAACCACCGTCTTCCTCACTTCATTAATGCCCTGCATACATTCTGTGTCTAAAAAAAACAGGAAAGAACGCAGATGTTAGAGTTGGAAACGATAATGGCTTCTTCTCTTAAATAAGCCCGAGCGCAAAGCACAAAAGAGAGAGTGAGGAGGAGTAATGATAATATGTTTGTCCCGCATTACGAAAGCTTTGAGCGAAAATAAATCCACCTCTGTTTCTACTTTGCCCTGCTCGCCAACAGTTTTTGTCTTTCCATTCCTCGGTCCTCCTATTGAGAGCGGACAAATGCAGCTTTTGGGAGTCTTCAATAGCGTTTTGTCTTCGTCTGAAACTGTTATTCTAAGCATCAAGGTTGGTTGAAGGTGAAGTGTGGGAGCAGTGGTCCACATGATGCAAGCACATCAGCAGGGGATACAACCTACAACACAGCGAAGTTGCTTTATCTTTACTGCAGATTCTCAAAGGTTTTAGCCATCCACCCCGTGTGCCCTTCCTCTGTTGTGCTGTAAATGCTGTAAATACTCTTTGTTTTTTAAAGAACAATTTCCTTTTAGAAATCCCCAAACTATATTCGCTTCTGTTCACACAACGTCTAGGGAATCTCTTTGCTCTCCACTTCCAAAACCTCCAAAAACACGTTTGTATAAGGGTTTTTTTCCTGCCACTTCAAATTGTTTTTGAGATTTAAAAAAAAACAGCTTAAATCTTTCCATGCACGTATCCAAACCTATGATTTGGAAAATCTTAAAGATCTACAAATGTCTTACCAAAAATGATAAAAAACCCAGAAGTAATTCCCTTCTGTGTGTGTGTGTGTTTGAGCTCGGAGGGCATTTGAGCCGCAAGAGCAGCTCATTCCCGCGATTGGGATCTTAGTTGGGAACCAATACGTCCTTCAACTTGAAAGGCCTGCAGACAGAAGCACGAACACAATCGTGATCCTCTGCGCGCATGCTCCTCATCAGCTTTTCTCCCATTTCTGGTGATTTTCTTTTAACGGTTTGCCATGTTCTCATCTCCTTTGATTAACGATAGCGCTGTTGTTATCGCAGATCCTGAAAGCAGACGCTCTCACTTTGTCATTGTTGGCACTCTAATCCAGTACGTTCTTTCTAAAGTTCTCTACTTCACACTAATCAACCACATTGTCTTTCCCCCCTCATTTCTCACTTCTTTTACTCTCCAAGAAACCTTTCTAAATTTGTGTCTCCAGATCTCTGTGCAAAGATGCCAAAAGCTACCTGGTATTTATTTATTTATTTAAAACAGTGGTAGGCAAAGCAAGGTGAACAGTTCACTTTTCACTGAGGATTATAATGAAATCAAATATCTAATAAGGATATCCGGAACATATTCATTTGTGAATTATCAGCTTCATGAACATTAAAATGGGTGTTACAATATATTATTAGACAAATCTCAAGTCTCAGACACTGGAAATTAAAATCTGTCCAACATAGTTGAATGGAAACATGTAACCATGTGGAAAAATGCTGAAAATGACCAGCAGTGACTCACATGCTTCCTGTGGCTGAGCTGCTGTCTGTGGGCAGAGAGCCGTTGGAGCGTTCCATCTGAGCCAACCTGAGGAAAAAAAAAACACCATCAGGGAAATTACCAGCTGAAACTAAACCATTTGAAAGCTGTCAACATCTCATTTAAATGCAACAGAGCATTAGAGCAACAGCGTCAACAAATTATATTAATGCCACAGTAGCAGACCAATTAAAATTTAAAGCATCTCATGGAGTCCACAAGCATATTAATGATAAAGATGCCACAGTTTGTTCGGGCTTTTTTTGGTGCTTTTTGTTTTTAAGGGAGGAAATGGATTACATCATTGAGTGATTCTACTTTATGCATGCGCAGTTTATATCCTAATATATGGGATCAATGTTTGGATGAATATGTACGACATGCTATGGGGAAAACGTTTTGTTGTCTTGATGACTTACGCAGTCAAAGCAACCGTGCTAATGAGGCTGGTTTCCCACATCAAAGCCAGTCTTACACCAGTGCAAAAGGGGCAGATTAAAAATATAACCCACAATATTAAGAAATTGATCTCTGACAGAATATACATTAAAGGGAGAAGCTATAATTCTAATATGATATCTCATCAAAGTGTGCATATCTTCATGCGTATCCGTACGCTCCAATCTAATCTCTTATGTGTTTTTATTACAGCTGAAATTGTAATTCCGGTGTCACTTTTTCAGTGAAACGATACCACCAGAAACAGTGAGCGAAGGTTAATGATGTGTAGCTAATGGAAGGTTACAGGGCAGCCAGAGCAGCGCTGCGTCACGAGAGTCATAATGAGTAAAGATTTCTGCAGAAGTCCTGGAAACCTGCGGTTGGGTTTTGATACAGGAGATGAGATTTGGACCAATTAGAAAATCTTTTTAATGGCACAGATAGGATATAGCAAGTATATCAGTGGATCTTAGTATTAAAATGATTTTTAAAAGAACACGACAGAAATTCAGCCCAAGTGTAAAAAAAAAAAAAAAAAACCTACTAAAAACATCAGTTTGTTGATGCTGTTAACTGCAGCTCACACACTGTGCATACAGATGTGCTGATGTACACAGCAAGATAATTTGAAGCGGGCGGTTAAAAGCAGCTATCGGGCCAATCTGTTACTAGACTGATTTTAGCAACACATCTATAATGTCACCAGCTCATGTGGTGGGTGGCTGCATGCCACTAAATCCACTCAGCAAGCAGACATCGGCATCAAGCTGATATTTAAAGTATGTCAACACTGTGATGGATTGTCACAAAGTTCAAAAAGAGCATATTAGGATTGTTTGTGCCTTCCCTGGCACCCAAACATAATCTCCCTCTACCACAAACGCATTTCCCTCACTTTAATCAAGATTTGGAAAACATCAATAAATGCTGCATTTTTCTATTATGGATCTCTTGAAAGGTTCAGGTCAATTATTTTTTCTATTTTTAAAGTAACAATGAAAAATCCAAACGCTATCGATTTTAATCAGATGCTTTGGTGCCGTCTGAGGAGAAAACTGGCAAACAGTATTCCGGCTTCTCTAATTTGTATGAAGCAAGTTTTAAAATGACACTTTCAGCACATAAATGAAGGCGGAATGCTTATTTTCGTCCCCAGTTTAGTTGGAACCATGCCATTTCCATCTTTCTGGGCTTTTTTTCCTCCCTTTCTTTTCTTTTGTCTCAGCTAGTAGGAAACATTTAACGTCCCTGACAATAGAGCCAGCTCAATTACCCAAAATAAGCAACGGGGTACTTTGATAGATGCAGAATTTACTTTCTTTGTGTTTGTTTCCGAATCTGAAGAGCCATTTGAGACATGTTTTGCTGTGTAATGACGATAAAACACAAAAAGAAAAGAAAAGCTGTTCCATTACTTATGAACGCCTGCACTACACATGCATCTTATGGTACTAAAAACACATTATTTACTTAATTAGATCCCATTTACTGGAAATTACATTAGATAAATTACACATTTAAGAAACCACAATTGAATGTTTTCCCTAGCTTCCAAGCACCGACTGTTTCCAATTTATTCCATTTCTTTAGCTTGGAGAGATTTAATTTGGTTGTCACATCTGCATTTGTTGTTGCCCCTTTCAGATCATTATTTTAGTGCAGACTGAAGGGAAGTGCGGCCTGGGGGGAGGGAAAAGCATCTACTTAAACGCTGATGTCCATTAGATAATGGTCCGCAGTTACAAGAATTCATAGAAAACTTTTTAAAATGGTCCTCAAAAAGAAGCTGTTCAACATTTAAATGCAATTATCGATTCTTTACACACTTGCTTCGTGGCATTTGCAATGAGAGGATGGTGACTGGAGAATCCAGTGCCTACCTGCTGGCATAGTGCCCTATCCTGGAATGGGTGTCGTCATGAGAGAGCTGAGGTGACTGGGACAGCCTGAAAATGAACAGGGTAATGGAGATGAATGAGATTCAGCAAGCCCACACAAGCTCATTAACACACTGATATTCACATGCACACACACACACACACACACACACACGTTCATGGACAGCCTAACAGCCCCTCATAACATCACCTAGAAAACAAATCTCATGGTCCTAGACAGAGAAATAGGAGCGCAGGATCATCTAAAGAGCGACTGGAGGGTTTTTGACAGGCCTGCTGGGATCAGCAACTGAATGCTAGCTGGGTGCTCTAACAAGGAGAAAAAAGTGAGGGTGAGGAGACAGGGGGAGAGTTTTTTGGTCCCATGCTCAGCCAGTGACTCGGGCAGGCAGGTGGGCAGGCAACATGCAGAGAAGTCATGGCTTAGTTGGTGTGAGGATGATGGGGGGAGATGAGTAAGTGAACAAGGGAGTAAAAGAGGCGGTGTTTTAAAGGCATTCCAGGCTGGAGACGAGGTGGTGTTTGCTGGTGGCGTAGATACTCACTCATACTGCTCCGGACACATGCTGATGAGGGTGACGGGACTGTAAGAGAATCGGGAGGGGAGAGGGAAGGGAAGTAAAGGAACCACAAATCATTTCAGGGTCAAAACCACTGAGCGGGTCAGAAACAAAACACACAGCAGGTAGAGGAAGAAGTGGAAGGAAAAAGTATGTCTGTATGCTGAGCGCCTGGATTCAGCACACGAGAAGTTTGCCTTTAGGGCTTTCTTCGACTTTCAGATTCTGTCACTGTTTGGTTAGTTTTACTCAGCAAAAATACTTGTTTAGCTCTGGGGAAATAAAAATAAAAATCAAATACATCCTTTCAAAACTGTCAACCATATCTACAGAGCCTGACTGATAGAAAGCACTGAGAGCAAACTTCCCCCGTGTGCACACAGGAAAGGCGTGTAAAACAGTGACCAACATATATCTAAATATACACCGCCGAGACTATCTCTCGTGGAGTTATCTTCAATCTGTTTCAGAACTAGACTTGGAAACAGTTTGGAAAAAGTGAAAATGGGCAGCTGGATCTGTCAGTGACACCCTGTAACACAAACAATGGTTGTGTGTGTCTGAAAGATCTCACACACAACGGGTTAATGATGCAAGTTGATTTTGCTGCAGTCACACACATCTCATTAAATTGGTTTCACAGTTGCTCCTGCATACAGAATGATATGGCCTAAATTCATTCCCTTTTCTCATTTATTTCCTGCAGGATTTACAGAAATAGTAAGCCAGGAAGAAAAAAAAAAATCAGTACAGTAGAACCTATTTCCTGGTTAATCTGCTATTGAGTCCAATACAATATGTTATATAAGGAGAACTAAAAAAAAACAACAGTGCGATAAGCACACAAACGAAGATACGGGTCATCAAGTTTTGCTAATAAAACACTGATGCAAGTCTTTTAAAGTTTCTGCTTTCCAGCCCACAATAACTGCGCTATTTTTAGCGACCCAGAACACAAAATTGTCATTTGTAAACAAACGGGACACCTTCTAATCCCAAGAACACGAAGAAATGTGCCATTTTCACAAAGGAGGCTGGCTAGAAATTGTTAAGATAACAGTTGAGGTTGACATTCTGTTGCCTCGCGCTTTTGTTCCCACATTAAAGCAAAGCAAATCAGAGGGAGACGTGAGGCATGGTGGTTATGTTTCTCACAGCGGGGCAGCCAGCGTAGTCACACTTCTGTAGCTGTGAGGAGAATTCAAAATGTAACAGGAGATTCAGACAGAACAGAGGAGGGGGGAAAAAGAGAGAGAGAGAAAAAAGACGAGATCGGGGTCGGTATGGCAGGCTGAGCTAACTTCTTGGAGGCAGTGCTGCAGCATTTTACACACCCCCGCCTAAATCTTTGCCTGGAGGAATACTCGTTGTGCTCATCTCGCCTTTCAGGATCCGACATTAGTCTTTAGCTCTGCAAAGATAGATAGCTTTGCAGATTGCAGATGTGTTTCCTTTCATACATATCTCTGCAACCTCTATTCAGTGAGAAAACTTCACTCTTTAGATGAACTCTGGAAATAAAGAAAACAAGGGGGGGAGGGCGGAGAAGCTGCTGCCTACGAGTTTGCTGCAGACAGAGGAGAGCTTGAGTTTGGCCAGGTACCAAAGCAAATCATCCGTATGTACAAATAATGTAAATATGACGGTGTATCACAAAAGATTGATATCAAACTGATCACTTGACCCATATTACGTTACTTGCTCTTCGAGTGAATCAACAAATGGCGAAATGAAAAGCTGAACAACAATAATGCTGTTTTTTTGGTTTTTTTTAGAGAGTCTTAGCTTACATGTGTGTTTATTTCATATTTTCAGTTGTTACCCTCCACGGCTAAACAAACTCTCTATATCGGTTTCAGTTATGTACCGATGAACACAACAATGGACATAAGGGGCTTCTTT